TAGTAGTAGACCCTCTAGAGGACACACCAAACTCCAAACCCAACATTTATTGTAGTTTGTGGTTTTACTAGGAAATGATGCATTCAACCAGATGGCCTCATGAGTTCATACAATGGTGATGACATAAATCAGTTTAAACTATATCAGATTAGAAAAAAAAAAAAACCAACTTGATCGAATCACTTTGTCCAAACTCAACAGCCAGTTTCTTGAGGACGGAGTCCATCTTAGTTTCATCAGTGAGTGAAACCTAATAAAAGATTTTATCTTCTTATCAACACAAACTGGCACATTTTAGCTTCATCCTCTGCTGTCATCCTTAAAAAGGTGGTTTGCTCACTGTTTTGTGGTCTACAGCTAAGCCATGATTTCCAAGCCGTTCAAGCCACTAGACCAGATTCCAACGAACCCCTATTTAAGTAAGTAAAAAATTAAAGTAAAGGACCCTTTTCCAAGCCTTTAGGGCATATAGGGCTAGACCTATATTTTTTATAGACCAACGGCACAAGATGGGTGATGTGGTCAGTATCACGCCGGGCGCCTATACTTCACGGGACTGCACCCGGTACCCACTCAAGGCTGGGTCGACCTGGTAGCCAAGGTCATTTCTAAAAAAAAAAAAAGGCTCAGCCAGGAGCGAACCCACGACCTTCCGATCCGCGGGGCGCGTCTAGCCGCTCCGCCACGGCGACTCCCGAACCTGAACTGAACTGAATTTCTACCCCACCAGGACATCACACAAGCGATAAACACCCGATGACACAAAGTGCCACCATGTGGAAGAGGATCGCCGTGGAGAGGTCCAAGAAACCGCGTTCAGACATTCGGCCATATATATGGCCTGCCTATATTGCGGCCCCTGGCAAAAGCCAGAGTGGGGCTTCAAATGACAAAAAAATTTCGTCCTAAAAAAGGACGAAATTTGGTATATTTAATGATGACGACATCTATTTAACTGCCTTTTATACATGCTTGTTAGCGAGGCAGTGTGTCTATTCTTAACCCCCCCCCCCCCTTTCCAGCAAATACAGCCATGTGACCCACAAGTTTGTTACAATACCCAACCTCCCGGTGTGGGTTCGAGTGCCGCTTTATGGGGGGAAAAAAAAAGAATAAACCTACTGTCTCCCCAAAAAGCATGTCGTAAGAGTCAACTAACTGGGGATTTTCTTCAGTCAACGTGTATCTGCATGAGAGGAAAGAAACCAACAGTCTGCACACAAATAAGCCTGAACTGTAAAACGGATGCACGTGCAAAACTCGGGTTCTGGAACAAAGCCAAAGTCCAGAAATGAACGAACAACCAGGTCTTTCTGCCAGGGTTTACTTCCGGTGAACGCAAACAAACAACAACAATATCCAAATTATAGAGTAACTGTATTGGGAACCATCGCTCTATCAGGATGACAGGGTACTAATGGAGCAATGATGCACAGTACAAAATTGTTAGCCTCTCTTGTTGAAGCTTATCTGACCTTCACGTGGACCCTGTTCGCCTCCATTAATCTAGTGGAGTGTTAGAGTTTGCAATCACATAGGCCAGTTTTTCAGATGATTTTTCTGGATTGAATATCATAATGGTATCATAATAGCAACACAGGCACATCCCGAATTTGACGTTGGCATTTTCTCACAGGGATTCTCTAAACAATAATTTTGGAGTAAACATGAGATAAGACAGAAATACATGCGAATGGGAATACTCGTAAGAACACAAGATAGACAAACAGGGCTGAAATCAGCACATGAAAACCAGAACGAGGGTTATAAGATAAGACCTAGGTCTAATCAGTTAGTAAGTGTTTGCAGCTGGCATGAAAGGTCATATTCGATAGACGAATGAATGTGACATTGTATACCTGAAGACGTGAAGGGGATGCTATTCCATGAGGACAGCCAGGCGACAACCTAATCACAGCCTAACCAGAGGTGGTAGCCGACGAATTCCAACAGGCCAAGGAGTCTAACAGCCATGATCAGAGATGCTGGATCAACCATTGTGTGTATTGCGTGTGTAATGAAACAGGACTGGGAGGTAAAGGTGTGGATGGTAGTAGACGTTGATTCTGTACTTGATCAATGTCATCATCTCTTGCTGGACCGTGCTAGCCAGTAGTAGACATTGACTGGATCAGATTACTTGTGATAGCTCAATAAAGAATATAACCGGATATCGTCTACTCGTTACCAACTGAGTGCATTCAGAACATCATCTATGTCTTAAATATGAAAAACCCTTAGCAACCAGTCAGCACACTGAGGAGACAATATTCCACCCAACAACATCAGAGGAGAGGCAACATCCCTCCTAACAGTGGTGTTTGCTATCTGAGTTACACAATAATCAGCACACGACCAAGTGTTCACATGTACAGATTTTCACTTGACACGCTGAGTTACGACACGACGTTGTCAGCTCCGCCATACATAAAGTTTATTGGAATAACACACGAGGGTATTCATAAGCCCTAACATTGACGAAACTGCATACTCAGAGACGCAGACCCTGATCCTAATTGGCATTCGAACATAGTCCTCACTCTCTCTCTCTCTCTCTCTCTCTCTCTCTTTTCTCTCTCTCTCTCTCTCTCTCTCTCTCTCTCTCTCTCTCTCAACTTGTAGTGACCTCTGCCTGACCACTACAGCTCTTAAGGTCTACAGCGTCTTACAACTCGGGGCTCGCTGTACAGAAGAACAAGAACAATTCTCCTATCAACTGGCCCTTGATATTACTTCAGCAGACACGTCGACTGACTGGAAACGGACTTCACTCGCTCGTTCTTTAGCATGTGCCCACAGCACATCAGCCTATCAAAGGACTCCGATGACCGACAGGACTTCTAGCACAAGTACCCTCTAGCACACAGCTCTCGTCGGCATCCCCACTGTTCTGTTTCCATGGTGATCCTACGTCACCCAGAACAGTCACTATTGGAGAGTCCAGTCCACTTGGCCTTACTTCGCCAGCGGGACTCTACCTTCGACAATTACCGTGACCAAAACTCTCCCTCAGACCTCACTGTCTGTCGGGTACACTGTATTCTGTCTCACTCGAGAGATACTGACTCTGACTCAGGCTCTGTCGGACTCTCTCTGTCTCTGACTGACTCGGACTGACTACGCAGCCCCAATATATCCTTTGTCAGCACCCTCAGTAAGCCAACCCATCTACTTTCTCGGGCGTTCGTTCCTCTTCCATGACACTGCACGTCTCACTGGTCCCAACATTGTCTCCCCCTCACCACTTGGCCAATGTTGACAATCTTCACGAGACATTCCCTTAAACTCCCGGGAAAAAAAAAAAAAAACTATCATACCAGTCTGTCCCTTTATACAATATTACACTCTCCCAAATCAGCACGCAAAACACAGTAGTAAAAATATAAAGGTAATCTCAAGCAAGAATGGACTCTCATTATGCTCTCACTGTGCCACATTATGCGGTTGTAGACATCCGACTGCTCTACACGATGTGTCTTTGGTGAAGCCAGGTATGATGCGCATTTTCTTCATTTTGAACCCTTTTACTGGTACAAGAAACCATTTAAGCCACTGAACAAAACCAGACAATATGTATAACCTAAGCCGTCTTCAGTAGGATTGAATGTGGTCAACCTCCCCACCCACCCAACACCTTTGTTTCCTCAATCAAAAAGCAACACTATTTCAAACCTCTGGTGCTATAGAAAGATTCTCAGAATATCTTGGACAAAAAAAGAAGAAATACTGACATCTTGAAAGATCTGAACATCAAGGAAGATTTTCTAATAGACAGCATCCTTTCTCGGAAGCTGAAATATTTTGGTCATATCAAACGTCACGACGGATTGGAAAAAGTTATAGCAGAAGGCATGGTACCAGGAAGGAGAGGCAGTGGCCGACCGACACGAAGATGGGCACAGGATATAAGTGACTCCTTGAGTATGAAAGTACAAGAGGCGGGAGAACTAGCAAGAGACCGAGTTTCTTTCAGGCAGACTGTGATGAGAGCGACGTTCTGCAAAGGACCTGCTACACAGTGATGGTGCAATAGGGAATAGTGCAATAAGAGAATGGAACAACAGAAGCTAATATATTAACAATATATTGAGTCATCAACTTCTTCTTTTTCTTTCCTTTGTTTGAAATAGATTTTCTGTATCTGCAATGTTGTCTCTAGTGTGAACTTCACTGACTGCTGTAATTGACTCAGCGACCCTTAAAGTTTGCCTTGCACCGGTGTTTCTTTTGGCCAAAAGTTTTGCTTTGATATATTGTATTTGGGATAGTCTTGGAGGACGTGAAATGTTGTCTTAGGTTTCAATCCACACGTACGCATGGCCGATTTACCAATTTCGCATTCTGTGTAAATACAGCTGCGAAGTCGATTTTGTTCTGTTTTAAAGCGTAGAATGACTTGCTCTGGTCGGTCCATATTACAATCGTTTTGTGTCGGTTTTGGTGGATTTCTGATTGATTTGATTGTCACCGACTGAACATTCAGTGAGTTGTATTGTACTGCAAGAGTTAAATAAAATGCAGCTGTGCGAAGATTCATAACCAGCCAAGCAAAACTAACAACTTCAAGAAATAGTGCAGTTGAACTCTGACGTAGTATCACCAGCCGTCCTCATTTCTTTGAGGGAGAGATTACGTCATTTTGTTATATAAGGTGAGGGTCTGCTTAGGTTTAAAAAACATCCGATTACTTTTTTAAACCACTGTCTAAACTATCACATAATTTTTAATGCTAAAAAATCTGTAAAATAAGTTGTATTTTTAATGCAGACAAACTGTGAAAGCAGCTTTAATATTGGACTTCATGGGCTTTTGAAATGGTGATGATGATGATGATGATGATGGTGGAGGACGATTTTTTTTTAATTAATCGGTCAACTAAAAAGTTAGGATCCGGCACACATTTGCGGTTCATTGCAGCCGATAGACGGTCTATGGATCTCGCGTAGATGCTAGACTAGACAGCAATTCTTACATTTTGCCAAAGAGATAGCTTATCGATGATGTCTGTGCTTCGTTGTTTTATCTGTCTTCCCATTAGGATCGCTAGTACTTTTTGGAAATTACTGTAAGTGTGTTTTTGTAACATTATAGATTTTTCTTTTGAGACAGTCGAGTCACTGTCTGTGGGTGTCCTCACTGTCCTGGCAGTGCAATAAAGCCACATAGTTGAGTTTTAAACATAACGTTTTATTTTTAGAAATGTATATTACATGTAGTTGTAGGCCAAAGTCCTAAAACACGTCGATAACGGATTATGCTGATTCATTTACTGGATATTGAATGGTTTTTATTATTAAGCGTGTGCATAGGACATTGAAGAGTACATGGATACAATTATCATAATAATTAAATTTCCATCCCAACGAATCAATTATGTAAGTGCAGCCATACATAGCGACATGACTGTAGGACTACAGTCTACAATACACTGTAATATTTAGTTTAGTGTCACTAGAGATGAGCCAACATATTTTCGAAGCTGGAAAGTGTAATTAAATCTATGAGCAGGTGGCTTGCCTAACTCGTAGTATAACTTTAGTTTCTGGCCTGGGAGAATGTCCTTTATCATTTTGTAAGTGTTTAGTCTCTTCTTTTTTTTTCTTTCCTTAGTGACAATTACTATATTACAGTTTAACAGAATTAATTAAAACAGGACTTGAGAAGTGCGTGAAGTTAATCAGAGAGAGTAGATGTGTGTCATCTGTTTGTTTTCAAAAATATCACTTTAGCACGGAAAGTGGTGCCTGATTTTCTGTTGCATGTATATATCATGTATTGTTGGATACACACAACATATGCTGTAAAGTAAAAGTAAAGGACTGTAGTCACTATAACTAGATGGGTGAGGTGGAGGACATTATTTAGCAGGTGTGTTCACTTGAGGACATTGTAGCTGGTAGGAGGATGAACAAAAACCAGCAGAGTGCTGTACGACCGTTTCTGATTGCATCCAACTAGACAGAAAATTTAGACAGGAAAGTCCAGCTGCTGCTGATGCAGATGTGCAGCCTTTGATTTTTAATAATTCTCTATTGGGATCTGCTGTCAAATACAGAGATAGGTCTGAAATTCGCCAGTGAGAAGTTCTTGGGCTTTGACGACTCAGGATGGAGTTAGCATTGCAGAGCAAGATTCTGGTGCTGTTTAAAGCAAAATTCTGGTGCTGTTTAAAGCTAGATTCTGGTGCCATTGTCTTGACCACAAGTAGTCTGACTATGGAGGTCATGGCAGTGACTAAAGCCAATGCAATAACATGGTTAGAGACACATAACTTTTCCAGCGCATGCTTTCTCAGTGGCTATTTCAGTATGCTCATGAAGACAAAGAAGGGCTGAAGTGTCTAAAGCCGTCAGAGTTGACATATTTGTGCCAGGGCAAGCAGGCGTGCAAGGAAATTAGCAAGCTGATAGACATGCAAATAAAACAACTGTGGAGGGCAGACGAATCATGGACCAGGCTCTATGAGAAGTAAAATGTTTGCAAGAATCAAGTGATTACTGTAAATCTGCAAACATTAATAGACTGAAAGAACAGCATGTTAAAAGGGGTGTGGCCAGACAAGAGCACTATGCAAGAAGCCAAATAAAAATAAAAAACAAACACAGAACTGTTGTTAAGAGCCGCTACATGCTGCAGGATTTACTAAGGTGGGGGGTCTGAGCACTTATGGACTGAATGGTTCAATGTACAATGAGGATTATCTGTTTAGTAACTAACTAACTAAACTTTATCATAAAGTTCTCTTTGTTAATTCACTTCTGTCTAGACTTTCATCTTGTTCCAGAACTTGAATCAGTTTTTACAGATGTGTCTTACTTACTTTTATGCTGACTGGTGGTTCATTACCTATCAGGCAGAGGTGCTCTGACTTCAGAGGAAAACTCTCTAATAAGTCACCTGTTATGACGATACCATTGGATAGGCAGTGAAAACTTATTTGGAAGCTGTGGAGATGTGGTTTTATAGACAAATGATGAGAATACCCTGTATAGATAAAGAGTAATGAGGACATCTTGAGGGAGACTAGCTCACGAAGAGAACTGATTGCCTACATCAGAAATAGACAATCATAATTTTTTGGCATCTCATGCAGATGCACTTCAACTGAAGAAAGCACCCAGTTAGTTGACTCTTACGGCAAGCTTGTTAAGAAGGCAGTGGGTTTATTTTTTTTTTTCCCCATAAAGGGACACTGGAACCGGCACAGGGAGGTGGGGTATTGTAACAAGTTTGTGAGTTACACGGCTCTATTTGCTGGAAGGGGGAGGGTGTGAAGAATAGACCCACTGCCTCTCTAAAAAGCAGTCATACACAGCAGTTAATTAAGGGTTTGCTGAAATCTGATCTAGTGGCTTGAATGGCTTGGAAATCGTGGCCTAGCTGTAGATCACAAAACAGTGGACAAACCACCCTTTTAAGGATGACAGCTAAGAAGAAGCTAACATTTTTGTGTTTGTGTTGATACGAAGATGAAATCTTTTATTAGGTTTCACTCATTGATGAAACTAAGATGGACTCCATCTTCAAGAAGCTGGCTGTTGAGTTTGGACAAAGTGATTCGATCACGTAGGTTTTTCTTTGAATCTGTTATAGTTTAAACTGAATTATGTTATCACCATTGTTTGAAATCGTGAGGCCATCTAGTTGAATGCAAAATTTTATAGTAAAAGTCACAAACAACAATAAAGGCTAGGTTTGTTCTTTGGTGTGTCCTCTAGAGAGTATACTATTTGAAGAATATGGAGTACATATAAATGGAAGTAGACCATGAGGGAGACCAAGAAGATGGTATAGTGAGAAATTACAGGTAGACCTACAAATGCTTACAGTCACCAGATGGACAGAGGAGGCCAGGGTGGGTGATATCTGCAACAGTGAACCTCCAAGGCTCTGAACACTAAAGAATAAGAAACTGTGTAGTCAACAGCGGAATAGCAGTTTTATTTTTTCAAGAATTAAAACAAGCTCAGTACTAATAAATCCTTTGTTGAAACTGAGTGATGCTCACAAGATAGCAAGTGGCAGCTTTGTTGTAAATGAACACAACACACCTGTTATAATAATGAAGAAGAGGAAGGTGTAAAGAACTGCAGGTGTTGCTGTTATTGTTTGTCAATCCTAGTTGATGTCGGGGGGGGGGGGGTGCTTAGGTTTAGACACTTTGAGGCTCCCCAACTATATCATCGTATGGAATGTGTATTTGGCAGTGTGGGCATGAATTTTGGGCCTTGTAAATTTGTGTGGTGGGAGGGGGGTCAGGATTAAGTTCAGTTTTTTTTTTAGTTTGTCTTTGTTAAACTGTTGCTGCAGTTCTGGCCGCCTAGAGTTGGGCCACTTTACAATAAAGAGATAAGTGCCAGAATGAACCACGTTTTTCAGCAGCTATCTAGAGCATTTGCTACTAGCACACAGATCACAACAACATGGAGAAGACAGAGGACATGCAAGTATCATTTGCTACTAGAGCACAGACCACAACAACAAGGAGTATGTCATTTGTTACTAGAACACAGATCACAACAACATGGAGAATATGACATGCATGTGTCATTTGCTACTAGAGCACAGATCATAACAACATGGAGAAGACAGAGGACAGGCATATGTCATTTGTTACCAGAACACAGATCACAACAACATGGAGAAGACAGAGGACAGGCACGTGTAATTTTCTACTAGAGCACAGATCACAACAACATGGAGAATATGACAATGCATGTGTCATTTGCTACTAGAGCATGGATCACAACAACATGGAGAAGACAGAGGACATGCATGTGTCATTTGCTACTAGAGCACAGATCACAACAACATGGAGAAGACAGAGGACAGGCATATGTCATTTGCTACTAGAGCACAGATTACAATAACAACAAGAGGACATACATGTGTCATTTGTTTCTGGAGCACAGATCGCAACAGCAATGAGAAGAGGGACATTATGTGTCATTTGCTACTAGAGCACAGATCACAACAAGGAGAAGACACAGGACATGTATGTGTCATTTGCTACTATCACACAGATCACAACAAGGAGAAGACAAGAGGACATGCATGTGTCATTTGCTACTAGAACACAGATCACAACAACATGGAAAAGACAGAAGACATGCACGTGTCATTTGCTATTAGAGCACAGACCACAACAACAAGGAGAGGACAGGCATATGTCATTTGCTACTAGAGCACAGATCACAACAACATGGAGAAGACAGAGGACATGCATGTGTCATTTGCTACTAGAGCACAGATCACAACAACATGGAAAAGACAGAAGACAGGCATATGTCATTTGCTACTAGGACACAGATCACAACAACATGGAGAAGATGTGTCACTAATCAACAGATCACAACATGACGTAGAGGATATGCATGTATCATTTGCTACTAAAACACAGATCACAACAACATGGAGAAGAGAAAGGACATGCGTGTGTCATTTGCTACTAGAGCACAGATCACAACAACCTGGAGAAGAGGACATGCATGTGTCATTTGCTACTAGAGCCCAGATCACAACAACATGGAGAAGACAGAGAACAGGCATATGTCATTTGCTACTAGAACACAGATCACAACAGCATGGAGAAGACATGCGTGTGTCATTTGCTACTAAAGCACAGATCAAAACAACATGGAGAATATGACAATGCATGTGTCATTTGCTACTAGAGCACAGATCACAACAACATGGAGAATATGACATGCACGAGCGCAGATCACAGTAACAAGAATAGGACATAAGTGTGTTGTTTTCTTCTAGAGCACAGATCGCAACAGCAAGGAGAAAGCTGAAGACATTATGAGTCATTTGCTACCTGAAGGTTGGTGTAAATGGTGACAAATTAAGGTTTGCTGAATTGGATGTTTTTTCGCACAAAGGTGCAGATGTTGCAGCCTGGCTGTAAACCAAAGCACAGCATGACAACTGCCCTCATCAGGGCAAATGAAGAAGAAGAAGTACACTTTATTCATCTGCTCTGTTCTGTCTATATAAGATTGTGTATTTAATGTGCAGACATCATCCACCAGAATCATGCAAAGATGGTTCAGGTAACCTATAGAGATGAGGTCCATTCAATATGGACTGTGACAGTGAAAGGAAGCCAGCAGAACAAGATACCTCTGGTCATCCTTCATGGCATGGGAGGTGGCAGCGGCATGTTTATCACCAACATTGATGACCTTGCCGAAAGGGTAAGTAGAATGTATGTATGTTTGCAACTGAAGCATTTAGTATTCCCCTATATGGGTTGCAATTTTTCCGTTATTTTGAAGCCGCCCTCCTGGCTTTGGTCAGTGACCCTAATTATAACTCTACAGGTTGAACAGGGTTTCTGTGACATGTCTCCGTGTGATTCTAGTCCGAATGGTGGCACTTTGTGTCACCAGGTATTTATTGTTCAGTGTCATGTCCTGGTGGGATAAAACATCAGTCAGTCACTATGCGGGCACTAACAGTGCATTGCACAGTCTTGTCTTCATCTGTACTCATTGGCTGTTAACTCTGGCAGAAAGTGCTATTTGTTCATCAATATTTTGTATGTTCCAGGAATTAAGTTTTGCATGGCATCTGTTTGATAGGAATGGCTTATTTGTCTACAGACCGTTGATTCCTTAATTTTTCTTTGTCATGGTGTCACGGCTCCCTCCAGTTTTACTAAACACCTATTGTGTGTGTGCATTAAAAAAAAAAAAAAAACTCAAAAGGCACATACAGCACCTGTCAGCTACATGCCCTGAGTCAGGTTAATGACATCTTGTTGATGGATCTTCTTGTCTGATCTTGACACGCTTGCAGGATCTATACACAGTTGTGTTTGGAGCCATTATAAAATGTGATAGATACTTGCCTGGCTATCCCAGTTTTGGGTTTGATTCCACCTCCAGACAGGGTTTAACAGTTGTTCTGAGCTCTCAGTCTGACCCAGCCTAGAATTAGTACCAGCTTGTGTCCTGGGGAGTAAATAGAGAAGGCATGATGATGACCACATGACCTTTCACAAGTAAAAGTAATGGACCCTCTTCCACACCTTCAGACATATAGGTAAGTAAAAGTAAAGTAAGTAAAGATCCCTTTTAACGCCTTAGGCACATTGGGCATAAGGGAAGAGCGTCCCATATATTTACAGACCAATCGGCACTTGGTTGGTAATGTGGTCAGCATTACGCCGGCCGTCTTTACTTCCCCAAGACATACATCCTGGTACCAATTTTAGGCTGGTTCGACCTGCGACAGCCCATAACATGAAAAAAATCCACGCAGCCAGCAAAGCTGGCGTGAAAGGCGTGGGGGATACACTCAGCGGTGTCAGTAGTCGCCGGAAGTCCGCAAAATAAGTTGCAGGAAGTGCGCAATTGACATGTGACTGAGGCCCTGTTAGGGTGTTTTTGTGGCCGCCACAATATGTGCCTGTTGTTCTGAGGATAGCCTAAGTATGGTGTTAACATAACCCAGTGTTCTTGAAATTGTTCTTCTTATTGAAGCACAATAGAAACATGACCTAATGTTCTTGACATTTTTTGTTTGTTTCATAATAAAGCGTGATGTGATCCTGATAGACCTCCCAGGGTTCGGATTAAGCAGTCGGCCCCAGCTTCGGGTTAAAAAGGAAGGGTTGTGGCGTGTGGACACTACCGTTGATGACATTGACGAGTTCTATACGGAGGTGCTGAACCTGTGGTTTGAGAAAATGGGATTGGAAAAGGTGGTTTTGTTAGGTGAGACATTTTCTTTAAAAAAAAAACCAGTACAAATTAAATATGATCCCTGTGCTGGGTCAGAAGCCCCAGGTCAAATGAGTGAGATCTGTTAAACGGATGTGCACGCAGCACCTCAAGTTTCTGATGAATTCTTCATTCTGTTCGTGTTTACTAATTACTCCCTTTATATATCTATATATATTTCAGACAAAAATATTAAAAATAAATAGTTTAAAAAAAAAAGTTAGGTCCCTTTTTTGCACCATTATTACACCAGGCAAATGATGCTAGAAGTATATTTTCATGGACCAGTCTGCTAAAGTCAGTGTGTCTCTCCCAACACCAAGAGCAAAATATATAAAACGTTGATAAGGCCAGTCATTTTATATAGCTCTGAAACTTGGAGCACAACTAAAAAATATGAAGCCTTATTACAGGTTTTCAAAAACAGTTTTATGATGAATCTTTGGACCCATCAAAGATGCAGACAGCAGGAAATGGAAAGTGAGAAGCAACAACGAAATTCAAAATCTGTTAAAATCACCACTGATCACAGGCATCATGAAGGCCAAAAGACTGAAACGATTGGGGCATATTGATAGAATGACAGAGAAGTAAAAACTATACACAAAGGAGATTAAAGACCTTTGACTACTAGTCAGACCAAGAAGACGATGGAGAGATAATGTACAGATACCAACTGGAAAGAGAAGGCCAACCAGAGAGATGAATGGAGACGGGTGATATCTTTCGCAAAGAACCTCAAGAGCTCGGAATGCTGAAGAAGAAGAAGAATCTACATCTTGCATCACGTTGATGCCTTTACTTCCCAGGACATTCCCTGGTGTCAATTTTAGGAGGTTTTTTTTGGTTTCCAGATAGGTTTTGCTGATTCAGATTCTACATTTCTGGACCGGGAGTTTAAAGTTTCTGTCGCTTAGCTACTGTACTAGTTCTTGGTACGACACTAAGATGTGGAGTCTATGTGGAATGTTTTTTTTTTCTTTTTCTTTCTTTTGTTAGGTCTGTGGCATGTTGTTGACTATACAAAAGTGGCAGGTGGCCGGTTACATTCAGAATGGCATGTACTTTTGGGCGTTTATAGTCGGCTTTCATGATTGACCGACTTGCAGTTCTGGTGTGGAACCATTAGTGTTGGCACATCTGACAGCAGCCTTATTAATCTTTACTTTGCCTCCTGTGCAAGCTTTAAGTTTCCTGGGGCTGACAGGTTTTTCACTGCTTTTTAAATAGAACAGTGAAGTACATTTTGTATGATTCCCACTGGCACAGGAATGGAGCAGTTATGGGGTGACCTGTCTACAGCGATGCTTAAACCTCAACTAACAGCTGACCACCCAGAATATTTACTGACAGATATTTTTAGCCTGGGTCGGCTTGGAAGCCCAGGGCAGTTAGAATAATCATGGGTTTCATTTTACAGCTGTACATAAGAACTCACGTGTGGGTTCCTTTGCTCTGTTTGGCCATGGGTGAAAAGGAAGGGGGGGATAACATTCCCCTCAAATAACAAGTATGTGGTTGTTGTTGTTCATCCATCACATATGATGATGACCAGTTCTTTCTTCCATTGGTGACTGGATTACGTTTTATGTGTGCGCACATGGCTGATAAGGCCAGTTCTAGCACTGAAAGTACTTGAGCAGTGTGGACAGGGAATTGATGCCTCATCTCTCTGGTGATTTGCTTCGGTGTCTTTCCTGGCTTGTCTTTTCTGAATTTATGCTGTAGCTTTAGCAGCTTCATGGGCCTCAGCTCCTCAAAGGAGAGAGGAGCGCCGGGATGAATCACATGCAGCGACTTCCCAGGTTTTAGGATAAATACTGAAGTCTTTCAGTGAAGTCTTGGGGTTGTTCTTGAAACATTTCTTCTGTCCACCTTGAGAGCGTTTTCCTGTCATACAGGTAGATTAATTATGAATTCACTATGATGCGCAGAACAAATACCAGACACAAGGACTCTAGGCTACAAACTGGAACATTGTGATGACACACACACAAAGAAAGAAGAATGCGAAGCAAATATAATCTTGTCTGTTTCTTTACAGGGCACAGCTATGGGGGCTACCTTTGCTCAGTGTACTGCATGAAGTACCCAGAGAGGGTCAAACATCTCGTCTTAGCCGACCCCTGGGGATTTCCGCCAGTGCCACCAAACACAGAGGCCCGGCCTTTCATGCGGAACAAATCAATCGCTTTACTCTCAAAAGTACTGTCCAAGATGAATTTGTTCACCCCTCTACGAATCATTGGTCCTCTGGGTAAGTGTATTTATGTGTTCCCGTTTTGATTTTTTTTTAAAACCTTTCACTTATCAGGTCAGTGAAATCATAATGACTACAATTGTCAAGGACCTGATATCTATATTATTGAACTAGGGCTCGCTGTACGGCCCTGTGACAGACAAACTATACCCAAAAAACACACACAAATGAAGCACACACATCATCTTTAATGACCAAAGAACAATATAGCCTACAACAACCTCTACAGTTATGGACAGTCCCCTAATCCGGAACGCTCGGGCAGTGGCAGCAGTTATATTTACCTATCCACCCCGGGCCATTTCCATGGATGAACCAAAGGACACGATTCCACCTCCTGTAGTGCAGCGCCAACTAGGCTACGATCTTCGCCATGCGAGACTCAGTGGTACACGCAGGGTGAGTGGTTCAAGTATTAGCGGACAATATCAACGACAGCGCAAGACGCAGATAACCCCCACAAATCCAGGGACAAGGACACCTACCTAAACATGGTACAACCCCCAACACAACTGTCTTAGCATACTATCAGCACACGAGGAATAACAACAGCTAACCAACACATACGACGACAGCGTTAACACTACACAACCTATCTGTCAATTCCTAACAAAAAAATACAATCACATCTCTCAAAATGTCCTCATCCTCTCACATCCTTTTTCTCCCTCCCCGTTCAGCTCCGGTTCAAACGTGTACGTTGCACCAGGGTTCACACATCTCGGGTTTTCCCCGTATCATCAAATCAACTGGCTGAGCGCTGGTGCACATTTTTGGTCCGTCAAACACCAACATGTAGTTACACGACGTATTGTCTAGACTCTGTCCCACAGGGCTATGACATCAATGTAGCATCTTTTAACTGTTGATACTAGTGGTTGCCCAGACATCCATATAAATACTAGAGTATAATTTGTTGGCACTATACCATAGTCAGCTAAGAGCAATTTTGAGTTTTTGCCTCAGTGCATTTTTATGACTTTTTTTTTTTTTAACTCTACAGTATACCAGAGGCATACATTTGAATTCCTATGCCAGATTGGTCAGATTATTGCATTTCAAAGAGTTCTGATTGGTCAGATTATTGCTTTTCAAAGAGTTACAAAATTTTCAGAGGGATCCCAGTGTTTAAATAAAATTTTCTTGATTAAAAGAAGTTAGCGCTTAATTGTATGCAGTAGTCTATCCTGAATGTCTCTTTCTATTTTTTTCTTACTGCGCTTTGTATATGTATGAATGATTGTAAATCTTTCTTTTAGATACTTTAGTTATGTTGTTTTCACCCCCACATGTTTGTGTCATACAGTAATGATATTCTGCTGCAATTATTTTATTCTTATTGTGTTTTGTGTCGTTCAGATGTGTCATACAGTTTGCAATCATTGAGTAGAAAATACATTATTTTGTTGTTCTGAACAGTCCATCCAAGGCATACACTAATTTACATGCATGTCTTTAATTTTTAGGTCCTTTCGTGTTAAACTTTCTGCGAGGTGACTTAGTTCGCAAGTATCATCGCTACTTCAAGGACACAACATTCTCAGATTACATATATGCTTGTAACACCTGCGACAGCCCAAGGTAAGTTCACGATATAGACATTACCTGTCTATTGTGACTTCTTCACTATTCTACCATTAATAAAGTAATAAATGGGCAGGTAAAATATCTGTATATAGATCAATAACATTGTGTACTATGGCCTAATAAGTAAGCAAGTAATTGTAAAGGTGTAGCCTATGACAAATATCACCATGGAAAACTGATCTATCATTTGCATATCTTATTCTTAACTTTGTATCTCCTCAATTTTTTTTTTTTTTTTTTTTTTTTTTTTTTTTTTTTTTTGCATTTGTGCTAAGCATTCTGTCCTATCTAGATCACAAATATTACAGTATGTCTAAGGTTGCAGCCAGTTTCCCCTACAGATGCAATATAGCTTCCCACCCTCTGCCGGGAGTAGACATAGGGCTGCAGAGTTGGCTAGAGAAAGAGACTTTCAGCTGCATCATGATGAGAGCCATGTTCTAAAAATACGGATTGATGTGTGTGAGATCATATTTTGTTTAATTATAAAAATTTAATAATATTATTCTGATTGCTTACTTAATGTTTTTTTTTTTTTTTTTTAGTGAAGTTGTGTTTTCCTGAGTATCTCAGAATTCTGGTTGGGCAAATAAACTAATTATTGAGCAAATTGGTCTCTGACCTGAAGACCTTGATGTGACTTTCATTTATGGAGCTTATTATAAATATTCAATAATATAATTCTAATTGCTTACTTAAACAATTTTTTTTAAGTGGAGAAGTTGGGTTTTTCTGAGTTTCTCAGAACTTTGGTTGGGCAAAGAAACCAATTATAGATAGATTTTGGCCTCTGGCCTGAAGACCTTGATGTAACCTTCATTTACGGAGCAATTATAAATATTTAATAAAATAACCCTAATTGCTTGCTTAAAAATTTTTTTTTTTTTAAGTGGAGAAGTTGCATTTTCCCGAGTATCTCAGAATTTTGGTTGGGCAAAGAAACCAATTATAGAGCGAATTGGCCTCTGGCCTGAAGACCTTGATGTGACCTTCATTTACGGAGCTAGATCTTGGGTGGATTCATCTTATGGCAAAGTGGCCAAAAAGCTGAGGCCAAGGAGCTATGTAGATGTACAGGTGAGTGTACATTCGTTTGATTCGTAATGTGTTAAAGGTAGTTTGAAAAGAACAACAATACTGACATCCTGTTTGATCTGAGCATCGAGGAGAATTGGCTCATACACAGCATCCTGTCCCAGAGATTGAGGTATGTTGGGCATGGTAAATATCACGGTGGCCTGGATAGAATGGGGATAGAGGGTTCAGTTTCCGGAAGAAAGAGTCAGATCTCTGTGAAAGTAGATTCACAGCATTTAAGATTAATCAGCTGGGAAAGCACATAGGGCTGGAGAATTAACTAGAGGAAGAAAGACTTTCAGGTGTGACCTGATGAGATTTTGGCCATGTGAAATGTCTTGGTGGCCTGTTAAGAACGGTGATAGAGTGTACAGTTTCTAGAAAAGGAGGCAGAGGCAGACCTCTGCGAATGTGGATACAAGACATTAAAGATGAATTGGCTATGAAAGCAGACAGGGCTAGAGAATAGACTGGAAAAGGAAAGACGTTCAGGCATGTCCTGACAAGATGATGAAAGGCAGTTGAATAGCAGAGTTTAGTAAACATTACCAGTAGGAAATGAAAATTGCTGCCATCTATTTGCCTGCATGAGAAGGATGAGAATGCGGCAAGATAGTGGCTGGATGCCCGCCTGCGGGCCTGAAGGTCTTTGGATGGATCCATACTAAGGCATATTTTTTTGGGGGGGGGGGGGGGGGGTTAAAATAAAAGATATCTTACATCTCGACACAACCTAAAATAGGTACTGGGTAAAGGTAAAGTTGGGAGATTTGAACCAGCGTCATTGCACACGGTTATAAACCATACGTGCTCTGCCACCAGTACGGACAGCTGATAAGAATTGTCCGCCTGTGTCGCTGTTCGCACGTAACTGTAACAGCGATGTTTCTCCATTTACCCCAGAGTATCACTCTGGTACCCATTTCCTAGAGGCTGGGTGAACCCCGGGAGCCGCCTGGTTCGATCACCGACCGTGGGCTGCAGCGAGTCGCAGCTGGATTTGAAAGCGAGCTTCTTATCAACTGCGCTAAGGCAGCCCCAAGGTACTGGGTAATGTCCTAGGAAGTAAAGGTGGTAGGCAGGATGTTGATTACATCTTGCACCAAATGCCCTCTGTGCTGCTGAAACAGAAAGGGTCATTTACTTGACCTCTTGGGCAGGTGGAGCGCCCTTCTTCTTCTCCTTCTTAGCCTTCACTGGCTTTAAACTATGGCAGAAGGTGCTGGCTGTTCATCCACTTCTTGACTTTGATCTTGAGTGTTACGAGCTCATCCATTTTGCAAATCTATCCTACTTGTATGCAGACTGTTGACACCTCTTCTCTCAGGCAGATGCATGCTGACTTCGAGGGAAAATCCCGTTAGTCGCCTTTTATGACATGCTTGGAAGGTGGGAGGGAGGGGTCTATTCCCCTTCTCCCAAAGTGGGAACACAGGGGGAAAAATGGCATACAAACTTCGGCTCTCAGTCAGAGTTACCTGAAGTAACCAGAAGATCACGTATTATATGTGTTTTCATTGCTTAAAACAAACCATTTACCAGTTCAAACGTCTACGGCCACACCACGTTGAAAATACTGGTTCTCGTCCGATCACCGAAGTCAAGCAACGTCGGGCGTGTTTAGTACTTAGATGGGTGACCGCTTGGGAACAGCACGTGTTGTAGACACCTTTTAAGCCCGGCTCTGTAGCGAAGTTGGTTTAACCTGACTTTTGCGGCGGCCGGGTGACGAACTCCTTGTGGTCCGGGTTCACTCCCGGGGGTAGGCAGAAAAGCCACATTTCTCCCAGATTAACGGTACCTATAATGGAATCAATGCCGAAGGGTTGCGATATCCATAGTACCGAGCCAAAGGGTTTACAACTCATGGTTTCTGGATACGTTAAAAAAAAAAAAAAACCAGTTCAAACACATGATGGCAATGTGTTCAACTTTTGGATGCATGAAAATTTATGTGTTTGTTAGATACTGTGAAATTATTACTTTTTCGATGATTTGTATATGTAATCTGTCATAGCAACATGGACAAACTATATAAGAATATGGCCATCTAGGATTCTTTTGCGTCAGAGTAGACAAGGGTCAGAGAGATCCAGGGCTGTGGATATCCGATCTCTGGTGCAGTGAAATCTCTCCCGTGAGAGCCTGGTCTAGCTCTTTGAGTACTTGTACCTTTAGGGAGAAATCACCACATCATCATCGGTTCTCGTTATGCCTAGTGGCACATGAGGCTTTAGAGAGGACTTTCCAGGCTTTCGTGTTCTGTGCAATCTTCAGTGCAGTTTTCCATGTCAAGGATGCCGCACTCAGGTCATTCTCCATTGTTTGTCTCCATGTTGTTTTTGGGCGCCCCTGTTTTCTCTTTCTCTCTGGCGACCATGTGAGAGCTGTTTTGGTGGGTAAATCAGGATTCATTCTCATAACGTGGCCAAGCCATTTCCATCTTCTCTTGGTTATCATACTGTCTAAAGTTTCTTGGTTTGTGACTTGAAGTAGTTTAGTGTTTGAGATTGTATCTGGCCAGAAAATTGTGATAATTCTACGTAGACATGTGTGGTGAAAGGTGGACATCTTGTGTGTATCCCTTTTGGTCATTTTTCAGCATTCCACTCCATAAAGAAGAACTGGCAAAATGATGCTCTTGTAGAGTCGCAGTATTTTAGGGGGAAAGGGGCACACTTAGTCATAAGTTCCTTGATCAAGAAAACCCTTCTACAAAAGAGGTAGTTACTGCTGCCTTCCGCTGGCTTGAGAATCACCTGTACACACATGTCGTAATTGTAACTGACTCACAGAGCATATTGAGAAAGAGTGGCAGAGTGGCAAGCATAGCTTTAGAGGTCCCTAGTAGTTAGCATCCTTTAGATATTTTCTCCGGGTCATGTCAGACTGACTGGCCATCCACCAGCCTAGTGTGTACAGCATTGGTTTTATCAGCTCTGTCCATGTTTCTTCCTTCTTGCAAAAACTTGGATATCTTCTTCTTTGTTCACCGGCTGTAAGCCGCAGCAGAAAGTCCTGGTTGTTTATCAGTTGTGGCTTTGTGCCAGGACCCTAGTTTTGCATCTACATCCGTTTTACTGACTTATTTGTGTGCACTTGATTGTTCCTGGCTGCTCTGGCAGATGCACTCCGACTTTGAAGGAAGTTCCCAATTAGTTGACTCTCACGACATGCTTTTTTAAGAAGGCCGTGTGCCTATGCTTGTTTTCCTTACAATGGGGCCCTGGAACCCACAGGGTAAATAAACTTGGTTAGAAGGTTAACAGCTGCTACCATGCTGAATGGAGTGGAATTCCAGAAAAATTTGCCTAAAAAGCTCAACAAAATAGGACGAAATGTTACGTTGTGTAGTTTTTTTGCACGTTTTTCTGCTTCCCCATTTTGTTGAGCTTTTTAGTCAAATTTCTCTGAAATTCCTTGTATTAGCTTGACTGCAGTCACCCCCATATTTTCACCATGAATGGAGTGGGTGTGTAACTGTGTTATCAGTCCCAGTTTGAGCCACTCTTGTAGAAAGGGGCTATTAATGTGTCTGGTATTTGAACCTGGCAGAAATCGGGTTAAAATTCCTCACGTGGGTTCCAGAGTCCAATTTATGTTGGGAGAAAGGGGGGGGGGGGACAGTAATAACAGACCCATTGCCTTTAACTAGCATGTCATAAAAGGTTACTAATATAGGTTTGTTGAAACAAGTTGTGTTGAGCCAAAAAGGGCAGATATTGCTTCTTAGCTATAAATTGCAACACAACGTGCTAACCATCCTTCCAAGGGTAAATGCAAAAGTAAAAAAAGTCAAGTTTATGGCTATTTGTTTGAAGTGATAAACACCCAATAAAAAAAATAGGTTTACAAACATCAGAAGACATGGTTGACCTTTTTGGGACATTACAAAGTTAACTCACACCAGGAACCGGCAGCCTTCATTGGAATACATCAGTGTACTTTATATGGGCATGCCCTGAGGAGGCCAAAGCTAAATTATGACGCAGCAACAGAAGAGTGGAAGACAGGCAGGGGGAGTCAAGAAGAGGAGAGGAAAGGCAAGACAAACATCTAATCAAAATACTGCTGGAACTCTCTGCTGGACAACAATAGAAAAGTGGAAGACAGGCAGGGAGTGACCAAAGAGAAGAGGAAAGGCAAAATGAACATATAATCAAACTACTTATGGCACCATTGGTGTTGGAACTCGTTGCTGGCTGCTGAAAGAGGAGATGGAACACCTTTGGGAATATCTTGAGTTGCTGTGATTACAATTCCTGACTCGAGCAGGAGAGAAGTGTTTGCACAGGTTGGACATCTGTATAATTAAAATGATCATTGCCTGTTTTTAACATTCACATTTGGTTTGTGAGTGTAAGTGTTTATGAGTTGGGGGTGGGGTCATCAGTGAAGCTACAGAGTTTGTTTTTTGTGTTACACTCTCAGGGGTGACCAACAATTGTGTGAAGAGAAGTTGAACCGTATGGTAGAAAGCCTGGTGCAATAAAATTGTTCCACTTACCTTTAAACAGCTTTTTGATTCATTTGGTAGTTGAGTAAAAAATTTTCATTTACATTTTTCCCTACAGGTTATAGTTGGGGCAGGACACCATGTTTATGCTGATCGTCCTGGTGCCTTTAATGACATGGTACACAAGATCTGTGAAGCTGTGGATGCCGGACATAAACCTAACATAACTGATGAGTATCAGCTACGCAACGAAGCCTGGGCCCAACTACTTCGGCGGCCATCTTGCGAATCATTTGAAGAATCCAGCTCTAAATTTCAACACAGAAGAACTTTGAGTGCACTGGAGTTATCGTCCCACCAAGAAGTAGATTTTGACTCTGAAGAAGATTTAAGTGAAGGCGACAATGATGAAGGACAGAGGACTGTGAACTGCGTCAAGTTCAACCTTGATGAGGAACCGGGGGAGACGGATGACTCTGTGCCTTATACTGCTGACTCTGATTTGGGCACACATTCTGCTGCTGAAGAAAGAATATCTGTTAGAGCTGATATATCAGCTGTGGAGAATGCAGCACTTTCCTCAAACAGTTCTTCTTGATTATGCTCATTTATGAAGTCATATAACTGTTTTTTTTTTTTTAAATAGCATAATACATGATGAGTCTAAAATACATTTAATTGCACATGTTTAATCACAAGATGTATTCTATCTGAGGAATTAGGATAATTGAAAAGGCGGTTCTTCAAACTTACAGTAAACTATGTTTAATTGCACATGTAATCACATGACAGTATTCTGGCTAAGGAAATAAGATCATTAGAAAGGCTGTTCGTAGGCTGTTCTTCAGACTAACAGTACACTATATTTAATTCCACATGTAATCACATGACAGTATTCTGGCTAAGGAACTAAGATTATTGGAAAGGCAGTTCTTCAGACTAACAGTGCATCAATACTGAGTCACTTAATTGCCTTAAAATTCTCGTTGTATACATCACAGCATGATCGTCAGTGCTTTGGACATATAGAGGACTCAACACTCAGGGTAAAGGCAAGGCGGATCAACGTATAGTCAGACTGTCACTGGTGCTGTGAGAGTTGTAATTCTGGGATGGCTGCTGAAGATGGGGATCGATGGCTTATGGGAATGTCCCTAGTGATGTGATGTTGGTTCTCTACTCAACTCTAGACATATGGTGCTAGTCCCATATTTTAACTCTTTGAGCTCCAGCCAGTGCACAGTGTGTCATCAGATGTTGCCCATGTGTAACCAAGCAACCAACAATGTGATCTGTTTAGCCTGAACATACTTCAGAAACCAGGCTAGCTATTTTAATGCCCTAACTAGGTATATGTGTTGCTACATCTGTGACAGTCAGGTTGTCACACTGTGTATTCACTGTGATTGTTTTTTCCCTGGGGAATATCCTGCCAAGTTGCCTGGTACTTAAAGAGGTAAAGACCGATTGGCGCTATTTGAGTAAAGGTAAAGTCGGGAGATGTGAACCAGCATCATTGCACACAGTTATAAACCATAAGTGCTCTGCCACCAGTACGGACAGCTGATGAGAATTGTCCGCCTGTGTAGCCCTTTGCACGTAACTCTGTAGCTACAGCGACGTTCCTCCATTTACCCCAGAGTGTCAACACTTGTACCCATTTCCTAGAGGCTGGAGGAACCCTAGGAACCACCCGGTTTTGAACACCGGCCATGGCTGCAGCGAGTCGCAGCTGAATTTGAAAGCGAGCCTCTTATCAACTGAGCTAACGCGGCCCCCAAACATGTTGCTATTTGAGTGACATGGTTTAGAGTTGGTTTATACTCGAGACATGCTCACATTTCCTTCTTAACATATACATATGTGTACCATGGCTAATTAGTGACATGAATCAACATTTTGGATAAATGACTCGTTAGTTTCTGATAAATGTCGTCATCTGTGGCTTAGGCATTACAAACACAATTTGTTATACTGGAGTGCTGGTTTCGATCCCAGCCACGGGCAATTTGGCAGCAGACCGTCTTGCGTTGGTTTCAGCAGTGGTACCAAGAGTCGACAATTCAGAAAGCAGTGGCAAACGGCTGAACATAAATTTGCCTGGAAAAACCACACAGGCAAAAAATGCTGTGGTTGGTTCTACAACGTCCTGAAAGGACAGGCAAATAACTTTCTGATAGAGGAACAGGAAACATGTTGCTGTATTTCTGACTCATCATGTAGACAAATCATCATCATCATTATTTCAGCTTGTAGGTGCCACTTTTATAAGATGGATATTTCATTTTCCGTTGTGTCAGTAAGATAGAGTAGAGTGTAGGAATGACATTATTTGATTATTAATGTGTGCATGCATAGTACAAGAGTATGCGCTCAGTTATTTGTAACAATCAGAATTGTTTCTACAAACAAACAGAAAGCAACCACAAAGAAAAAACCCAGAAGTTTAAAATTATGTAGCACATTACTCTGTTATAAGAAGTCGGTTTTCCAATATTTCTGTTATCTGTTTCTAGTAGCGATTAATGCATTTTTCATTTAAGAAAACAATTTCAAAATGACTGAATATAATCATTAACGAGCGTGCCATTTTAATATTAATTTAATTAAGAATGCCCTCCTATTCATTTTTTTTTCTTTCTTTTTTCTTTCTTTCTTTCTTTCTTTCTTTCTTTCTTTCTTTCTTTCTTTCTTTCTTTCTTTCTTTCTTTCTTTCTTTCTTTCTTTCTTTCTTTCTTTCTTTCTTTCTTTCTTTCTTTCTTTCTTTTTTTCTTTCTTTCTTTCTTTCTGTCTTTACTAGGAATACTGGAAGAAGAGCAAATGAATATTTATTAGTTCTTTTGTTTGTACATAAACAATTTCAGCAGTTCAATGTTGAGATTTTCAGTTCAGTTTTTCATTTGGTTTTTATAGAATTGGATGTTGCCTGGAATGAATTTACAGTTTTCTGATTGTATTCATACACATTGAGTTGAACGTTCTGATTGTATTCATACACATTGAGTTGAACATTCTGATTGTATTCATGCACAGTGAGTTGAACGTTCTGATTGTATTCATACACATTGAGTTGAACGTTCTGATTGTATTCATACACATTGAGTTGAACGTTCTGATTGTATTCATGCACAGTGAGTTGAACGATCTGATTGTATTCATACACAGTGAGTTGAACGTTCTGATTGTATTCATACACAGTGAGTTGAACGTTCTGATTGTATTCATACACATTGAGTTGAACGTTCTGATTGTATTCATGCACAATGAGTTGAACGTTCTGATTGTATTCATACACAGTGAGTTGAACGATCTGATTGTATTCATACACAGTGAGTTGAACGTTCTGATTGTATTCATGCACAGTGAGTTGAACGTTCTGATTGTATTCATGCACAGTGAGTTGAACATTCTGATTGTATTCATGCACAGTGAGTTGAACGTTCTGATTGTATTCATGCACAGTGAGTTGAACATTCTGATTGTATTCATACACAGTGAGTTGAACGATCTGATTGTATTCATACACAGTGAGTTGAACGATCTGATTGTATTCATGCACAGTGAGTTGAACGTTCTGATTGTATTCATGCACAGTGAGTTGAACGTTCTGATTGTATTCATGCACAGTGAGTTGAACATTCTGATTGTATTTATGCACAGTGAGTTGAACGTTCTGATTGTATTCATGCACAGTGAGTTGAACATTCTGATTGTATTCATGCACAGTGAGTTGAACATTCTGATTGTATTCATGCACAGTGAGTTGAACATTCTGATTGTATTCATGCACAGTGAGTTGAACGTTCTGATTGTATTCATACACAGTGAGTTGAACGTTCTGATTGTATTCATGCACAGTGAGTTGAACGTTCTGATTGTATTCATACACATTGAGTTGAACGTTCTGATTGTATTCATGCACAGTGAGTTGAACGTTCTGATTGTATTCATACACATTGAGTTGAATGTTCTGATTGTATTCATACACAGTGAGTTGAACGATCTGATTGTATTCATACACAGTGAGTTGAATGTTCTGATTGTATTCATGCACAGTGAGTTGAACGTTCTGATTGTATTCATACACAGTGAGTTGAACATTCTGATTGTATTCATACACAGTGAGTTGAACAATAAATAAAGTAAAATTAAATTATACACCAATCAGCACTGAATGCGTAATGAGGTCGGCATCACATCAGCTAATGTAACTTGCCAAGAAATTACCTGGTACTCATTTTGGGCTGGGTCGACTTGGGAATCAAGGTCAATTTTGGAAAATAAATCTGTCGCATTACGAATATAAAAATAGGCCTTTGGAGCTGGCAGGCAAATGTCTAGCCGCTATGCTATCGAGGCTACAGTTATATACTAAAATTAGTATTAAAAGTAAATTAAGGTGTTTCTAGCCACAGCATTGATTCGGCTTAAAAAATTAGTTAATAAACATAAACATTTTAGCTGCTGTGAAAGATGTGGATGTGAAATTTTTCTGTAAAATATGCTCATAATGGGTAAGCCACTGCACATTTTAATCAGTATAGGCCAGTGATTTTCAGCCTGGGAAATCTTCTCCCCCCATGTATTAAAAAAAAGGTTGAAAACCACTGGTACAAAATATGTATCTTGTCAGGAGATCAGGTGTTCATGTCGCTATCCTCTGATTTACTTCCTTGGTGTTCTGTATCAGTTTTAATTGATGAAATTCCTTCATGCCACCATTTTAGTCCTTGTTTCGCCTTTCAGCATCAGGTTTTGAAGAGGCAAGAGGTGTAAGTCTCGGTGTGTGCCTCATGGATACTAGTGTTGACGACTTTTGATATTCCATCCATCCATCGCTTGTGTAGGCGACCTCTAGGTCTGTTTACATTGTATCTAGTGGGGGAGGGGGGCTCTGTGATGCTCTAACCTGTGGCAGTCTGGACACTTGTCCAACATCTCAGACACTCCAGCGTTATTCTTCAGTCTGTCTCTGCCTTGTCTTACCCTGACAATACCAGCCATCACAGTGTTCTCCAAATGAATTTTCCTCATTCACAAAGTTGTGTGTAAGGGTTTACTTTTATTAAAACCTTCCAGACAGTCATTGTTAGTGTCCTTTAAATTATGATTAAGAGCAAAAAAACCTATTGCTTTGTTTACATTTATTACTTTTTTTTTTTTTCACTTTGTTTTAGGACGGATATTTGTAAAAATGTATTATTTTGGTTTCTGAACAAATTCAAGTCATTTTATTTCATTGTGTGCCAACATTTTCTGCTGAATCCATCTGTATTAATAACAGGAATAGAATTTATATCAGAAAGAATTATTTTAATCAAGTTGACAGAAGGAAGTAAAACTACAACGATTATTCAGATATATGCACCTTGCAATGATAGTTATTCTGAAGAAGAAAAAGAAGACTTTTACGAGAGACTTACGGACACCATCAACAATGTTAAAGAGAAAGAGGACATCATAGTAATGGGAGATTTTAATGGTAGGGTAGGTAAAAGAAGATCACCATGGGAGAGATACCTTGGCCCATTTAGCCACACAACCACAGATTGCAATAGAAATGGAGAACAGCTGCTAAACTTGTGTGCTGAACAAGAT